TTGCCTGACATACAAAATATATAAAATCACATGTACCTCAGAGTGTGGTTGTGGGGATTAAATGAAGAAAACTAACTCAGGCATATGTATTCAGGTATAGGGTTGTTCTTTTTTTGTTTTGTTTTTGCCTAGACTTTCTACACTACAGACTTTCAAGTTTTTGACCCCTAGGAAAGTTCTGGCTGTGGCTCCACATGTCTTACAGAACAGGCAGGGAGCTTATATCATGAATGTTATATCCTTTTCTCCCTAGGTGGTCATTGAAGCCCAAGGACTAGAGGCCTTAATTGCCGCCACTCCCGATGAGGGGGAGGAGAACCTTGACTCCTATAGTGGGCTGTCCGCCATCCTCTTTGATGTTCAGCTCAGACCTGTCACTTTTTTCAGCGGATACAGTGATTTGATGTCCAAAATGCTGTCGGCATCTAGTGACACTGTTAGTGTGGTGAAAGGACTTATTCTACTAATAGACCACTCTCAGGTAATTCATTCATTCTGTAAGTATTTATAGAACCCTTAAAATGTGCCATCCACATTTTAAATATGCTCTGTGCTTGGAGGCTGTAAGACAAAGTTCCAGCCATCTTGGAGCTCACATTCTAAGCATTCAGCTTCTTGTTTGGTATTGTCGCCCTGTCCCCCTTTCTCTCTTGCTATAGGTAAGCAGGGAATTTCTTTTGCTCTAGAAATTTTTACACAGACACACATATGCAGATACTCATGCATTTACGCCAGCCTGGATGTCCACACACACACACACACACACACACACACACACACACACACACAAACACACACACATGGGTTCCAAGTACACTCAGTCAGTTGCTCCTTTGAACTCAGTGTCTCAGACACTTAGAAGCATGGCATAGCTACACAACACCCACAACAGATAGTAGATAATAAAGCCAACTCCTCACCGTTGAAGCAAAAGAGAAAATATTCAATATAATATGACTATAATATAATCTCAATTATATCTCAGTACAACTGGAAAAAAAAGAATACTGATACTAACATAAACAAGAGATTATGGAGAAAATAACCTAAGATACAACAGAGCAGAGATGACATTTCCTGTTCACTTGGCCTTCCGGGGCAAAAGGCCCTAGATAATATTTATTCTGAAGGCAAGAGCTAAACCACATGGCTTAATTAGTTACTGATGACAATTATCATGACAATGATGATGAAGATCCATATAGTATATCAATTTGGCCCTGTCAAATTAGTAGAGGTACACACAACCACTGACACCAACTACATGTTTCATGGAGACATCTTGCCCCAAACTCTCACGTTCACAGAATCTTACAAAAGTTCATTCATTAGTGGAGAATAGGAGAATTTTGATTCACTTGAACTTCATTCTTTAGAATGGCTTTCAATTTTCCTCACCCTTAAATCTTACTATACTAAAGTATGACAATGCTATCTTCTGTGTAGTAAGATTTAGGTGACCAAGATATAATAGGATGGGAGTCCCAATGTATCTGCCTCAGTGGATTTTCTGAGAAACAGAAGAAGGTCAATCTGAATAATCTTTGAGTCTGAATACTTGAAGCTTAAAAAATTTTTAATGGCTTGACTTATTTCCTGCTTTACTAAGCAAAACAATATAAAAATGAAATTTCTGCTAGATAAGGATCCTAAAGGGAAATCCTTAAAGTGATCACTGTATACTCTAATTCATACTTGTGATATTAGAGATATGCGAGAAGACTGGATTAAAATTTACAGACTATAGGACTCACTTTGGAACTTTGACTTTATGGTTTAATAAATTCATGAGTAATAATCTAGGCTTGAATTTTGCCCCCACTAGTTACTTTCTATATGCTCTTCGTCGGTTACTAAATAGCTTTAAACCAAGATTTCCTACTAACGAAGTGAGACATTTGGAAGAGGTGATCCAAAGTCTTTATCAGCTTTGTTCCTTGCCAGATAATTTGAGGATTTGGATTTGTTGAGTTCTGGTTATGACGTCATAGATTTTAAGAGCTGGGAGAGAACTTAAATATCAGATTTTACTAAAACTCCTCCAAAAACATCATTGGTTGGAACCAAATGCTAATTCCTTATCTTTATGATTCTTCATAACAAACAATTCAGGATAACTATATATAATAACTATAACAAAAAACCAAATAGTTTGACTCTTATCGTGTAATAAATATTCAGAAATAGGTAATCTAGTATTTATGTAGAAATCCTAAGATATTGTCAGGCTCTTTTTCTGTCAGCCTAGACATTTTCCCTTGTGGCTTTAACCTCATGCTTGTCGCCTCATGATTATCTGATGGCTGCTGCACTTTCAGCACTAATTCCTCATTCTAAGAAGGAACAAGGGAAGGGTCAGGGGCAGGAGAGTCTAGCTCTTTTTCAAGGATGTCCCTGGAAGCCCTATCTATTCCTACTAAAGTAAGCATCTACAAAAGGAAGCTATTTGGTTATTGACCAATACTGTATCATATGGATATCTCTAGCTACAAGAGAAACTGGTAAATATAATTTTTCAATGGTTGAATTGACACTCTAGAAAAAACTGTGTTTCTGTTAATATGAATGAAAAGAAGGACACTGAGCAGTGTCTCTTATATCCCTTAATCCTCAAGGTCACATGTGGAAAAAAAAACCAGTTTTCAAATTATATCAGAATTATACATTGTACATTTCTTTTGCTGTGTTACCTTTGGGGAGGTTCATTCTTAATGAGAGAATCTCTGAAGGCATGAGAATGCTGAGGATGTAGTTCACATTTTAAGACACAGGAATAATAAAAGTTCAGTATCATCTGTATATGCTCAATTGTCTATCAATAATGCCTTAATGGCATGAATCCAGCTATAAAACTTGATGGAAACATAAGTAGTAATCTAGATGATGGCTGGCAAACTTTTTATGTAAAGGGCAGAAAGTAAGTATTTTAGGCTTTGTAGGACACATAGTCTCTATTGCAGCTATTAAACTCTGCAATTATAGAATGAAAATAGCCATCAGCAAGATATTAACAAATGAGTGTGGCACTGTTCCAAAAAAAATTTATTTACAAAAATGGCCAGTGGGATAGATTTGCCTGCAGGCCATAACTTGCCAATCTCTGATCTAGATTATCTTACAAGATTTTTCTATTCATTAAGCTTGGGCACCTGAGGCATAGTCTAAGAAGATTGTCTCCAAGCTATTAAATATAACAATGTCCATATATTTCATATTGGAGTACTTGGCAGATCTTGGGTTATTATACAAATAAGCTGTTTGAGGCTCTCAGCTCTGCAGAGCACTCCAGTAATGTCGTCTCAGCTTCAGAGGCAAATACCACTCTAGGTCAAGTGCTGACGTTGAAGGAAATTTTGGCAGTGGGTGGCCTGTCACAGCCACCAGTGCAGATGGAATTACTCTGTGCTTACTCTCTCTGTGTTTTCAGCTAATTGTATTACTCTTCAGAGAAGGATGTCCAATAAAGTCAGCTTAATAGGGGGATCCTCGTTAGTCAGCAAAGAACATATTTTCCTGAATGGAAACGATGGGATGAGTTATGAAAATATCAGTGTCTGAGTTGTAAGAAACACCTTTGGGACCAAAACTAAAAGGTCAAAGGGGTCACATTAGCTACAAATATAAAGCTCCAGTTTCTTATTCCTCTAATTCATAGGCAAGAATTTAAATAAATATGCACTCTGGGTCAAACAAAGACATAAACCTATGCTCTATCTTTGTTGTACTATTTCTCAGAACAGTATTCCTTGCACACCAAGAGAAAAGACAGTTATGATTTTGTGATAGTCATGGATGGAAGTAGCATAGTCTCTCTCCCCCACTGGAGACAGTCTGCATGCTCATTCTGACTCCACATGTAGCCTCCCATTTGATTTTTCTTTTCAATTTTCAGATATAATGCCTACCATGGAAGATTAGCATGAAAATTACATGAGATATCAAATGTAGAGCTTTTAGGATGCAGTTGGTGCTCAGAAACTGTTAGCTTCATTTATTTTATACCCGTCAAAAGTTAGAACCACTGCACTATGTAGTTTAGTTCTGTTCACGAAGTAAAGTGTGGTTTGTGCTTCTACAGGAGTCAGTGGTCTCTCTGTCTTTGGGGGTCCAGAAAATCCTTCTGTGACTACACATGGAGTTCTTCCATGATCCCTTTGCATGAAGGAAATGGAATCTTCCCCGAAAGCCAAGGCACTCCCTAACACCCACACTGCAATGGAAAATGCTCCTTCCACAAAAGGCACTTCATCTAGTCACCATGAAATGTTCCTTTCCATGGCACTTGGTGTGTTTTGACATCTAC